TTGTTCCCATTACAATTCACGGTTCCTCAAAATATGTCATTAGCTTTTTCAGTTGTCATTACTTAAAAGTAGTGCTTTTCATTTTACAGATAAGAATTTAGTAGTTGATTGTTCTGTTTGTAAACTTAGAAAAAGTAAGACATTACTTTTTCCTATTTCAGGCAGTCATGTCAATAAATATTTTGGCATTATTCATAGTGATGTTTGGGAAATTACACCACTTATTTCACATGCTCAATATAGATATTTTGTGACATTTATTGATGATTACAATCGATTTACTTGAATCTATTTTTTGGGCTCCAAAGCAAAAGTATTTACTATATTTTAAATATTTTTAGCATATGTTGAAACTCAGTTCTCCGCTTGCATAAAAACTCTACGATCTGATAATGGCGGTGAATACATGTCTCATGAGTTTCAAGCATTTCTCCATAACAAAGGTAATGTTTCACAATGTTCATGTCTCTATAGACCGCAGCAGAATGGAGTCACTGAATGAAAAAATCGACATTTATTGGATACTGTGTGCACATTACTGATAGAATTCTCTGTTCCAGCTAAATTTTGGACCGAAAGTTTATCTATTGCAGTTCATCTCATTAATCGTTTACCATCTCAACAATTGAAGTATGATTTTCTCTACTATCGAGTTTTTGGTAAGCATTTTAATTATCATATGCTACATACTTTCGAATGTGTTTGCTTTGTTCATCTACCTGCTCATGAATGTCATAAGGTGACAACTCAGTCAGTACGATGTGTCTTTATGAGGTACAGTTCTAATCATAAAGGTTTTGTGTTATGATTCGATTAATAGTCGCTGGCATATTCTCAGAATGTGATTTTCTTTGAACATAAATATTACTTTCAGCATCATGTATCGACACCAGATATAGTTATACTTCCACAATTTGATAATTCATCTGCGGATAAACGGTTCAAGCAGGACATTGTCTACACACGATGTCTGCCCCTTCACCTTCAATCCTCCCCGATCTTGATCTAAAAATTGCTCCAATAAGTCTTCGACGATCAACTCGGCATATCCGTCCTCCAGATAAATATGAGTATTCTGCAATTTTAACTAATACTATTGTTTCTATCTCTCACTTTCAGGCTGCTAAACAGACTTGTTGGGTCAAAGTCATGCAAGAGGAATTTCAGGCACTTTAAGACAATCACACTTGGGATATTATTTCATGTCCTACAGATGTTAAACCCATTGTTTGTAAATGGGTTTACTCTCTTAAACTACGATCTGATGGCTCTCTTGACAAATATAAAACAAGATTTGTAGCTCTTGGCAATCGATAAGAATATGGGGTTGATTATGAAGAAACATTTGCACCTGTGGCTAAGATGACAGTTGTCCGGCTGATGTTATCTATTGTTGCATCTAAAAGCTGGTACTTAAAGCAGATGGCTGTTAAGAATACATTCTTACATGGGGATCTCAAAGAAGATTTCTATATGACTCCACCTTCAGGCTTGTTCTCTACAACTTCACATGATGTTTGTAAGCTCAAACGGTCCCTATACTGTTTAAAACAAGCTCTACGGGTCTGACTTGAAAAGTTTCACAATACCCTTCTTAGCTTCTCTTTTATTCAAAGTCGGTATGATTCAACGTTATTCCTTTGCAAAACTGATAAGGGAATTGTTTTGTTATTAGTCTATGTTGATGATATAACATCACAGGATCTGACAATCACTTGATGTCTGACCAAAGGAAAATAGATTGAGATTTTCATACCTCTTTTATATTGTTTTTAGTGATATTGCACTTTAAAGAAAGATATTTTTGATGTTTTGATGCAGGAATGATGAATTAGGGTCAATGGAGCAAAAAAATGCAAAAAATGAGCGAATTTGGAGCAAAAAGGACCAAAATGTGGAGAATTGCACTAGGGCGCCGACAGCGCCATCGAGGCCGCCGACGGCGAGATTTTCCCGAGGCTACAGGACAAATTCTCCAGAAGAATTCTTCAGAAGCCCGCCAACGGCACCCTCGAGGCCGCCGACAGCGGGATCGACGGTTATGTGACATGTACAATGGATAAGGCCGGATTTTGGAGGGGTGCGTAAGCGACTCTTGAGAAAACTCATCCACATCTTTAAAGAGAACATTTTGGCCAAAAATTAGGAGAGGGGGAGATTTTTGGAGACTTTTGGAAGCTTGGAAGCTATAGAAAGGTTCCAATAGTGTGTATAATTGTGAGGAATTCTTCGAGAGATTGTAAGAGTGGAGGGAAAGTGAGAGATTTCTTCCTCCTTGCTACTTCGAAGAGGAATTCTGTGTGCTGT